GGAGGCCCATGGCCACGAGCGCGCAGCAGGTGAAGACCGCGACGCTGGGGGCGAGCGCTCCCTTCCTTTAGGTGGACGCTACTCCTGGCCAGGCCCATCCTAGGGCCAGGATCGGTGTACACGCCCGCCTGGCTTGGGCAGGAAGGGATATAGACATATAGGTCTGTGTACATCTACATATGCACACACACACACCGATGTCTGGCCCATGATCGGCCTGGCCAAAATCGGTGTAGGTGTGATGGTTAGTGCCCTCCGTTTCCTGACGACGAAGGCACCGGAATGGAAGCGCGACGGTATCGGAATGAGGGAGTCCCTGCCCACTGGCGCGTACTTGCTGATCCACGTCTGATCGGGGTCCCTGGAGTCAGGGGGAGGAAGGGTACCTGTACCGCTGGTCGTCCTGGAGAGCCCTCGTCGCCACGGCTAGCTTCTCCTCGAAATTCTCATCTGAATGCGTCCCAGGAGAGCTCCGGGGAGCAGCGGCATCGGTACATCTTTGCCTCCCCACCTGAAGGACCAGTAAAGCGAGCCCATGGTCCACGGCAGACCCAGGCCGAGGAAGACGTTGACGGAATTGCTGCCCGTGACATTGCCGACCGATGCGTCGGCGGTGGGGTCTTGGAGGGCTGCCGTTCTTGACGCGAAGGTGTCCGGAAGAGATGTGCCAAGCGCCACAAATGTGATCGCCGTGACCTCGTCCGGAAGACCAAGCACACAGCCAAGGAGTGCTGCCATGTCACCGATGATGGCGGTGACGAGCGCGATCATCAGCAGAGAACACACGAAGCAGAGCCAGCCACCGCAGTAGTCGGTAGGCGGCACGAAGGCGAAGAGCAGCTTCCAGGGAAGGGTGATGAAATGCATGATGTAGTCTGCTACGCTGGGCTGCTCTGCAAGCTCGGACAGCTGAGAATCCTCCGAGAGCGTCTTGCCAGCCTCCACCGAAGTTGCCCCGTCGGACGTGGGCTCCTCTGGGGGCAAACCGTTCACGTACAGTGCACCCATGAACTGATCCTTCCAGTTGGAGTGCCCGAGGCGGGACTTCTCCCACTTGCGCTGGAGCTTCTGCCACACGTGGTCGACCCGCTCCTTGGCCCCCTCCCCGCTGCACTCGATGAAGACCGACAATATGCAGCAGTTGTCCTTGGCTCCGTCGCACTCGGGATCGATCGTGGCGCCGCCCTCGATGTTCGACAGGACCACGCGGAAGAACTCCTTGCGCTCGTAGCGGCCCGAGCCCTTGATGACGCAAGGGATGGTCTGTTGGATCATGCCGTTCTCGAACACGAGCGTCCCCTCCATCGCCTCGTAGTCGATTCCCGCCTGCGCCGTCGCGTCCTCGGTCTTGTACTCGCACGTCACCTGTTGAGGGGCACCGTTAGGGCGGAACCAGCTCGGGGGCGGAAACATCGCCGATAGATCGGCGATAGGCCCCCAAGAGCAAATGCGCACGGTCACAGGCGGGGTGGGCGCCCATTGGGGGCTGAATGGGCGATTGGGGGCGATGCATTCCCCCCTGAGCCTATTATCCCCCGACGTTGCCCCTGACCTGTCCGGAGCAGCCGTTGTTGCGCTCCACGACCAAGTTCACAGTGAAGTCGTCTGGGCCCTCCTTGATGGTGAGCTGGTCATCGCCCCTGTCGTCGCCCTTGAAGCGCAGTTGCCCAGGCAGGTCGTCGTCGATGATAACTACGGTCACGGTCGGCTTCGAGCCCAGCTCCGCGGTGTACATGCTGGCATCGACGCTGGGGCTCTCCTCGCCGCCATCGATGATCTCGGGGTCGCGGAGGTCGACGTAGAACTCCTCGTCGGTCTCGAATGCAGTGTCATCGACGATCTGGAGGGCGATGGGGAGCAGCTTGACACCCGGCTCGAAGATGAGCTCATCGCTTCGCTCCACGTAATCCAAGCCCGCTTTGGCCGTGCCTGGGGCGACCCCTATTGCACAGCGCCCGCATCCAGCCGATCCCGGGCCCAGGATCCGCGTGCACGCCCCCTGGCTTGGCCAGGAGGCGCACACCCCGACCCCTGGCCGGAGATGGGCCTGACCAAGATTGGCGCGAGCGTAGAGTATTGCATCCCCCGTGTGCCCTCCCGGGTGCTGAACTTGACACGAGCCTTCTTCTCGAGGTTGCCGCTCCGCTCCACGAACACCTCGCGGGTGCCGGCGTTCTCGACCACGGCGTAGCTGAGCGCGGCGAACTGGATGGTGGTCTTCTTGGTGGTAGGCTCCCCCTCCTCTGCCAGGTCCACGACCTGGCCGTCCTTCTCCAGACCAGGAAACGGCACAGACATACAGTCAGGCCGCTGAAAGAAGGAACGCCAAATAAGAAACGGAGCCCCTTCTTGGCCCTGCAAGCGCCTCCGTGCCCCAGGAGGGCAAGAGGAAGCTGAGGCACATCGAGCCCCTTCCGAACCCAAACCGTTCCCTACTTCAGAGCCTTGACTCTACAGTCGGGGCGTTGACCTAAGGAACCCTAAATAAGGAACGAGGCCCCTTTTTCCATAAGTTAACCTTCGATTTCATGTCGAAAACATTAGGGAAGCCCGAGGCAAGCTGTGAAGCACTCAGGGAACGCGGAGCCCCTCCCCAACGAAAAGGGTTCCTTCTTCAGGGCCCCGACTGTAACTTCGGCCTCCGGTGGCGTTTGGCGGCCTTCGGCGATCTTCGGCGGTCTTCGGCGGCCTTCGGTGGTCTTCGGCGGCCTTCGGCGGCCTTCGACGGTCTGCGGCGGCCCCCGGCGGCCCCTGGCGGCCTCCACTGGTCAGTCGGGGTGCCTGGGCGGTCTTCCGCGCGCGAGGGATAGACTGGGCGACAGGCGGCTTGACTCTACGCCTTCCGGTGCCCGCGCAGATCTCCCGAAGCGCGCGGTGGCCCTGCCCGCTCGCCGCCCCCGGCGGGCGGAGCTCCTCCCTGGCGCGCGGAGCGCGCCAAGGGCGGCGCCGGAGCCCGCGCCGGGGGAGACGAGCGTGAGGTCCAGCGCCGACCCCAAACACCGCGCGGATCTCGGAGGACTCCTCCTCCTCCTCCTCCTCCGCCTCCTCCTCCGCCTCCTCCTCCTCCTTTTTCTGCTCGTCCTCCTCCTCCTCCTCCTCCTCCTCCTCCTCCTCCCCTCCCTCCCTCCCTCCCTCCCTCCCTCCCTCCGTCCCTCCCTCCCGCCCTCCCTCCCTCCCTCCTCCCTCCCTCCTTCCTCCCTCCCTCCTCCTTCCTCCCTCCTCCCTCCTCCCTCCTCTGTCGGTTTCCGGCCTTCGACTCTGGCCCGTCTGGTTCTGGCACCACCTTGTTCGACGTGCGCCGGACGCCGCTGCCGATGGTGCTGGAGCTGGAGAGGATCGAGGCACTTTTTCTGGACTCCACGCGCTTTCCGCCCGTTATGGAGCGGATCGCGGACACGCGGTAGTGCGCACGACTCTGAGTCCTGGGGTAGTCATGGTCGATAAGCTTGGCCACAACACTTTCCGAGAGCGGCTTACCATCCTTCGTCTCGTACTTCTGCTTCACTTTCGCAACGGCTTGGGCCAACTCCTCCTTGGTCATGCACCGGGCCACGATCCCCATCAGATTACCGCTGCCCTCGGAATCCCCACCACTGCCCCAGAAATACCCCTTGTCCGCCAGGAAGGCCATTGTGACAAGCACTGGCATAAAGCCGAGTGTCAGCATCCCTTCCCAGGGCTCGACGACATTTTCTGACGACCTGATGGAATGATACAACTAAGTAAACATGAACTTACGGAGCTCCGTGCGGATTCCTTGGATCGGCGTTGGACCTTCTCTTCCTGGCAGGCGGAGCGTGTTAGGGACGGCGCCGGAGGAACCGCCATTGGGCCCTAGCGCCGATCTGAGAAATCTGCGCCGAGCTCCGAAAACTTACGGTCAAAATCGATAGCAAGGATGCGCGATAAGGATGCAAGCCCCTTGTACGCCCATGTCGAGGCTCTTCGGGCGGGGCTGGCCATCGAAAGTGGTTAAGAATGAAGCGAAGAGGCAAGGATGCAAGGATACCCTTGGGAAGGCTATCCATCCCTATCATCGATTCCGACTGTATGTTGATGCAGGTTTTCCGTATTCGGCGACCCCTCCAAGATCACGAGCAGCCAGGCGTAGGCGAACAGCGACCAAATCGCGGTCGTGACGTACACGGGCATCTCCTTGATGCTCCGCAACTCGCCATCTGGGATCGACATGATGCAGACGGCGATGATCACGAAGAGGTTGAAGGCGGCGCTGCCGACGATGGTGAGAAGAGGAGAGAACGGCATAAACATAATCTTTCGGAGTTCCAAGCTGTTTTCTTGGATCTGCGCTGGACCCCCCTGGCGGCGCCTCTGGCGCCGCCGCTGGCACGATCCGCGCGCTGGGGAGGGGGGCCTCCGAAAGTTAATGTTCGTTCCGTCTTTTCTTCTTCGAGATGGTGAAGGGCCCCAGGTCGCCGCTGTAGAAGTCGTTGCCAAGCAGCTCAATGATGCTGAGCAGAATCTCGGGCGCGGAAGAGCCCAGCGCCATGAGTGTCAGGTTCGCCACTGTGGGGTTCCACACCGTCTGGGTGACGTAGCGGCCCGTCTTCGCATCGAGCTTCCGCACCCTCTTCGACGTGATGTGCTCGATGGCGCCCATGAAGACGTCTGCGATAAGTGCCACACCCAGGAAGCACCACCCCAGAGCGATGAAGTAAAGCGGGGCTCGCACACCATCTGGCCACTTCTGCTCGTCGTCGCCGAACCATGGCAGGTTTATGGAGCCCCTCCCGCCCACATCGCAGATTTTCGGGCCACAGAAAGCGTCCCGATTATCCCCGCCCATTGAGAGTGAACGCACCCAACAGAGCCTGATCGATGCGGGAACAGCACCTAAGCTTTAGGTGCCTTGAACCGGGGCGGCCAGGGAGCAGGAGCAGGAGTTGAGAGAGCAGACTCGAGGCGATAGTTGAAGGAGGTCCTTCCCCTCATCCTTCTCATCGGAGATGCGCCCTCGAGACTTCCACAACGTGGGCCCTGAAGCTGCGGAACACATCCCTGGGACGCTGCTGGCTGTTTCTTGATGGCCCCAGGGCCCCGGAACGGCTCCTTGACGCTGATATCGCATATCAAAGCAGCGCGTGTAGTGCCGTGTGTCGTGGCGCCATGGGTCTGGGTTCCCGGGGAGAAGAGCCACCATCATGAAGAGACGGAGGAGGAGGATCAATGCAAACCCAAGACTCATTAACGATATTGCAATACACCCTTCTGTCAAATTCCCTCTCAATAGGCACCTACACGGGTTCATCCGTTGGACGGCAACCGATTGAAAATCCGGAACAGCATCAGAACGCCAATTCTGGGACATCAGCGCCGCGAATCGCTGATACTGTTGCGTCTTGACGAGACACGCTCCAGAACACCATTCCTGGGCCTTCAACAACGCGGATCAACGTGACTGCCGCGCGCCCTGACATTCTGACATCATGCCAAAACACCATCTCTGGGACGTGAGCCATGATAATCCTTGAAACTGCTGCAAACTCTTCAGACGATTGTGCGCAGCGCTAACGCGAGAGTCACATTGTGAAAAGGAACCGCCCTCCATCTGTGAAGCTCCTGCAAATTCTCAAACGGATGTGCACCTGCGTTAAGGCAACCCACATTTTGTAAAGGAACCGCCCTCCATCCGTGAAGCCCTTGCAAACTTGTAAAACGAATGTGCGCGGCGCTAACGCGAGAGCCGAATTTTGAGAACGGGCCGCCCTGCATCCGTGAAGCTCTTGCAGCACTTTGAAAAACTGTGCGCGGCGCACAGGCGAAACCCACAGTTTGAAAACGATCCGCCCTCCATCCGTGAAGCTCTTGCGAACTTTAAAAACGATTGCGCGCGGCGCAGAAGCGAGAACCACATTTCGAAAACGGGCCACCCTCCATCCGTGAAGCTCTTGCAGAGTCTCTAAGCTTCAAGGCCATGAATGGTGAGGACTTCTCAGGCAAAGCTCCCGGCCAGCCCTTTCGACTGGGGTGCGACAGGGAGGAGTTATCCAGAAGGAGAAGGGATGGAGGAGAAGGGATGGAGGAGAAGGGATGGAGGAGGAGGAGGAGGAGGAGGAGGAGGAGGAGGAGGAGGAGGAGGAGGAGGAGGAGCAGGAGCAGGAGGAGGAGGAGGAGGAGGAGGAGGAGGAGGAGGAGGAGCGACACTGCCCGCCAGGGCAGGGCGGGGAAGACCAGGCCTGGCTCCCCCATGCGCCTGCCCAGGGCGGCACTGCCGCCCCCGCCCGCAGGCGAGGTGCACCTCCTCGCACGGGTGCTCTCGGCGAGCAGGGGCGCCGACAAGTGCACGGCACTGGCGCTGCAAGTGCGGTCCTGCACGATGGGCGCAGCCAAGGAATAGGACGGAGGAGAAAAGGGGAGGAGGAGGAGGAGGAGGAGGAGGAGGAGGAGGCGGAGGAGGAGGAGGAGGAAGAGGAGGAGGAGAAGGAATAGGAGGCACAGAGAGAGAGAGAGAGGGAGAGGGAGGAAAGAACGAGAGGGGCAGACGAGGGGGAATCTGCCATACATCGATCTGCTGGTACGGCGACAGCTGGCAGGGGCTCTCGGCTCCCCCCACGAAACGGAACGACGAGAGGAAAGCAGGCAGCGTCGAGAACAGAGCATGGCCGGAGCTCTCGACCCCATCCTCCCTCCAGACGACCGCTTTCTCAGGAGAGGGCCAGACAAGACCACGGCGGCCCTCCCAGGCGTGTGTTTCGTCATGTCCGTGCACCTGGGACGTTTCTGGACGCCACGGCGGGGCCCGCCACCAAAAAGCTGGTCAGGATGGACCCTGGGAGGGGTCCAGGGACGAAGGATTGCAAAAAAAAACCCTTCGGTTCGCAAGACAACCCTTCGTTTTTTTTGCAATCCTTCGACGAGGGGAGGGGTTTGTTTTCTGCAATCCTTCGGTTTTTTTGCAATCCTTTGAAACGGATGCGGGCCTGGGGGAAGAGCCGCCGTTGTCTTACCTGGCCCTCCCTTCATTTGGATGGGCACATCGATGCGAAGGTCCAGCGCGGGGCAAGAGAAGGAACCCAGTCATGCTTATCACGACGCCCAGATCAGATATTCCTCACCCTCAAGATTGACCTCCAAACCTGTCCTGGCTTGTGTTCCGACAACAGTTCTGAGCCCCACGGTAACAAAATATCCAATCATTCGTCACCTCCTCCTCCTCCTCCTCCTCCTCCTCCTCCCCAGATGTTACCAGCAGAAGATGACTGGTGTGCAGCAGTTTCACGAGAAGCCATGTTGCTTCCTTTATCAACATGGGGGTCCCGCTTGAGAGCACCTCGATTTGCATCACTCAAAAGCTATACCTGGTGCACCGGTCACACGGATTCAAAGCGAAACATGTCCAAACTGGGGCTCTCACAATACACTTTCCAAACATGCAGGCCCGCACTTCGTAGCAATTCATGCACCCCGAAAGATGGACGGCGGTTCTTTATCCAATCGATTTGCCCTATACACTGAAAAATCCTGCGACTAGTAAGTTAAGTTATGCGGGCGTGGCACGGGGTGTAATGCAGCATCTTTGACGTATCCTGGCATCCTGGTTTGATTCTGGTCTTCCTTACCTATCTCTCCCTCCACAGCTACACAGTGAGTACTACTCCCTCCTCTGCCCTGATACTGTCCGGTGGTGCCGCCGCCATTCCCGCGCACCGGTTTGCCCACGCAAGATTCGGAGACATGCGATTCCTGATAAGTCAGTTCGATCGGGAACTTCTGGGCCTTTCAGGTGTGACATTCCCCCTGGAACGTTGGCTACGGACAAAAAAATGAGGAGGAGGAGGAGGAGGATCTCAAGATCGGCGTTGCGCTCCTGTCGTCCGGGAGAAACCCCCAGCCCCAGAACATGCCGCACTTCCGGATCCGATATTCCTTCCTCGTCATTGCCGCCCCCTCCCTTCGCCTACTCCGCCATGCCTTGATCATCATCGCTCGGACGTCCATTCCGTGTGCTTTTTTCGATTTCGTGCGTGGTTTTTTCGCCAAATGGTCGAGGATGCTCCTCGATGGTCCTCGCCGATGAAAAAACGCACCCGTCCGAGCGATGCCAGGCTTGATCATCCTGCTCGCCCCGCTCCTCCATGATTCTGCTCGTCATCATCCATCCTTCCCTTGCTCCTGCCAGCTCTCGTGGTCCTTCGCAGCCTCCTTCTCCTCCCTCGATGTACAAACGTACGGCAGGTTCGTGTCGTGCCGACCCCAGCGTTGGTTTTTGACACCGCAGGGATCGTTCAACCTTGAACGATTGGCCGCTGCCGCAACGTCCGATCGTTCAACATCGATCGATTCTGGGTCGCCGGCGGCGTTCAACATTGAACGCCCGCGCTGGGGTCGCCGCCGGTCGACACGACGCAAACCTACCGTACACCCGCCCCTTTCTGATTGCGCATCACGCGATGGGGGCCACTTGCCATTCGGAAGACCAATGCTCAGTAAGACGCCCCAGTCGGCGGATGGAGAATGATTCAACAAGATTGGAAATGAGGGGCGGCAGGGGTAGGATATCAGATCCGACGCGAGCGCAATTAGTTTGTCATCCTCCCTTCGTCGTTTTCCTCCTCCACTCCTCCTCGTCTGGAGGAGCCCGAAAATCAGCAAAGATACGAGAGAACGTTTCCTCCCGTGCCTTGACTAGCAGAAACTGCCAAACTCTCCCCTCGACGAACTGGGGGAGACCCCCCCCTCAAAATCCTCCCTTTTCCTACAAACCCTTCTCCCCCCCCCCTCCCCCCGTAAACCCCTCCCCCCCGGATTCCCAAACCCGACGGGGGGGGTCCCCTTCCCCTCTCTTCGGGTTCCACAAAAAATACGGGACAACGGCGAGCGTCGAAGCCAAACGATGGCGACGAAGACAACCGCCGGCGCCGAACGACAGGTTCGAACCAACCCCCTCCCCCCCCCGCGGGATGCAAAGGAAAAAAAAGGTTCGAACCCAACCCCCCTTTCTCTCGGAATCCTCATGAGAGAAAACAAAATCGGAAGTTGGGGGGTGTGAGCGGAAATGGCCACAACCAGGAAGTCGGTTTCGGTTTCCGCTCGTGTCGTGCGTGCGAGGCGACGCTGCGCGAGTTCCTGCAGTTGTAGACGCCACGTGGAGCCCAAAAGGTCGCCCGCCCCGCCCCCAGCTGGGCGCGGACCCCGATGGTTGTCCCGCGGGTTGTCCCGCAGGCTGTCCCGATGGTTGTCCCGATGGTTGAACCGATGGTTGCCCCGATGGTTGTCCCGATGGGTGTCCCGATGGCTGTCCCGATGGTTGTCCCGATGCGTGTCCCGACGGTTGTCCTCTTGGTTGTCCCGACGATTGTCCCGACGATTGTCCCGATGGTTGTCCCGACGGTTGTCCCGATGGGTCTCCCGATGAGTATCCCGATGAGTGTCCCGCTGGTTTGTCCCGACTCAGGGACATACTTCTCGTCTCCCCCGCCGCGCCTATCGCCGTCTCCGGCGGCTCCGCCGACGGCCCGCCAGCCGTCGCAGCTCCAGGCCTCCGACCGGTCGCTGCACGTCCGATCCCGACCCTGGTCGGTCCCGGCCTCCGCCGTCCACCCGTGCAACGCGGGCGTCACACCAGGCCACCAGGCTCCGGCCTGAGGGGGCCCCAGCGTACCTGCTCCTCGGACCAGGGACGTCCTCACTCATGCCAATTTGGTTCCCTCCCAGAGTGTTGGGGGTCCTTTTTCGGTCATTCAAGTCTTGACCCCCTCCCGCGGATCGACTTTTCACCCTGAAGTGCCCCAGTCACTCCGCGAGCCCCGCCCGCCGCAGTAACTCCACGCCTCGGCCACGGGGTCCCCCCGCGCCGCGGGGGGGTCCTCCGGCGCGCTACGCGGCGGCCTCGTGCCGCGATCGGCCCGCGTTCCATCGTCCGCCGATCGGAAGCCGTCATCCTCTTCTGGGCCACCTCCCTGAGGACCGCCCCCTTCCTCAGCGCGCCGTGCGAGGGCTCGAGCTGCTGCCGCCCAAGCGTCCATGTCCCTTGCTGAAGACGTACTGTTGGTCCCCCACCGGGGCCGGCCTCGCTGAGGCCCTTCCGCCGCGACTTTCACGACGGAGTTCCGTGCCGTGGACCGAGCCTGCTCGACGGCAGCTCCGCTACCAACCTCGATGTGATGATCTGTTTCACCACAAGCGGCCGTGGCCTGCTGTGGGCATGTCACAATAGGCTAAGCCCTCCCTCCGTCCTAGCGCCGGGAGGGCCTGTAGCAGAAAATGGCGTCGGGAAGAGGGGGTCGGTTGATGTAGCAGCAGTGATCTTCAACACGGAGCAGAAACGGACTGCCAAACTGGAAAAGGCGCCGATCCGGAAAACGGGGCAACACACACACACACACAAACGATTCTAACATCATCTGAGGGCGGGGGGCTGCCCCAAGGCCATTCTCCTCGGGGGGCATTCGGCGGGCTCGGCCCTCAGGGAGGGGGAGCGAGGAGCGAGGAGCGAGGAGCGAGGAGGAGGAGGAGGAGGAGGAGGAGGAGGAGGAGGAGGAGGAGAAAAAGGAGGAGGAGGAGCGAGGAGGAGGAGCGAGGAGCGAGGACCTCGGGGGCCGCGCGCTGGAGAAATCGCCTCGTTGGATGTCTGGGAGCGCTCAGCGTCGGTGGCGCTGGGAGCGGCGAGACACAGGCATCGCGAAGACTTCGGGCGCCTCGGGGGCCCCCGGATACGGCCGAGATCGGCCAGTGCCCCTCGAAGCGCTCCTCCTCCTCCTCCTCCTCCTCAGGTGAAGGGACACAAGCGCCACAGCCTCGGTTCTCCAGACAGTTTTCAATTTGCTGCGGCCTCTTTGCTCTTGGCGTCCAAGGGGACCTCAGAGCAGCAGGCCGTGATCCGCAAGTACCTCGATATCAATGCTCCTGGTTCCTTGGCTGCCCAATTGACTGTGAAACTCTTCAGGACGGAGAAAATGCATGACTCAAAAAGCAGGAGACTTATCATGGCGCTGGCGGACAAGCAGCTGGAGGTGGTGGTGGTCGATCTTCTTCACTCTCATTTGAAGGTCCCTGTACTCCCTGGTCCCAGGCCTGCTGGATTCTTGGAGGTCGAGGGCCTGAAGTTGCTGGAGAAGTGATCGTGTCGAGCTGTATCTGCCTGCCTGCCGCCGTGATCTGCCCTGTGCCACACTTCGCGTTTTTTTTGTTTGACTCTTGCCACTCAGTCAGTGTTCAGGATAGCAGTTTTGTATCATGCGTGAGGCTGTCGCCTATCCGTTTGATGGGTGTGTCTCGTGAATACGGCCGTGCGCCGTCAGCTGCCTAGCGGCACTGGCGCTGGCGCCCCCCTGCCTGAGGGGTGCCGAGGCTTGCGAATGAGGGGGTTACCCCAATCTGCTCCTCAGACCATCTGACTTTGGTCTCAACGGAGTGCTACCTACCTATTTCCTCCTCCTCCTCCTCCTCCCTGCCAGCTCTGGCATCCCCAGCATGTCAGGAGATCGACCCACGCCCTCCCCCGCGTACAGACCTCCGATACCGCCGCCCTCTCCGGGGAAAGGGGCTCGCTCGCGGCAGCCGCGAGGCGGCCGCGCCGGTCCCCCTCTTCTCGGACGCACGCCGACATGGACGATGGATCCGTGTCTGAAACCGCCGCCCCTCTCCGCGGAAAGGGGCTCGCTCGCGGCAACCGCGAGGCGGCCGCGTCAGCGCCTTTCTTCTCGGACACGCGCCGACATGGATTACAGTCGGGCCGCTGAAAGAAGGAACGCTAAATAAGGAACGAAGCCCCTTCTTGGCCCTGTAAGCGCCTCCGTGCCCCAGGAGGGCAAGAGGAACAGCACTGGAGGAACCTAAAGAACATCGAGCCCCTTCCGAACTCAAACTGTTCCTTCTTTCAACGTCTTGACTGTATGGATCCGTGGATCCTGCGCGTTGGCGCCAGATCCACGGATCGGGGGAAGGACATCCGACACAAAAAGCCGATGCCGCCGAACATTTGGCGACGGAGCGCGTCGTTCCCGCACGGCACCGGGACCCGTCGCTGAACCACGCGCCCTGATCCCATGCTTGAGGGGCCAGGGGACATACAAAGAAATGGGCACAATCCCAGGATTCCCCATACTTCCTGGATGTGCGTCTGCCCCTCCGCCTCCGATCCTGTCCGCACCCCCTGGGGATCGACGACTCTTTGTGTCTGCATGCTGTTCCCCATCCCGCATGCTCGCGCTTCCTCGACGCCCGGCTTCTGGCTCCGCGCGGCGGCTCGCTCCCGCTGCCGCACTGCGCGCGACACGGGCCGCCCCAGGGCCATGGGCTGCAGGGCTGCCGCTGGCCATCGCTCGGACGTCCATTCCCGGTGTGTTTTTCGGTGTCGTGCGTGTTTTTTTCGCCAAATGATCAAGGATGCTCCTCGATGGCCCTCGCCGAAGGAAAAATGCACACGTCCGAGTGATGCCATGCCAAGGCCGTCTCCGTGGCCACTCCGCGGGCGGGCGCTCCTGGCGAGGTCCGCGTGCTCCTCCACGTCCACCCGCAGCACCCTGAGCCGCCGGGGCCTCCCAGAGCGCGCCAGGGGGGGGGGGGGGTTGGCGCCGACGGGCGCGGCCGACGCCCCCTCCGCTTCCTCGGCCCCCGAGTCGTTGCCCTCCTCCTGCACCTCCTCCTCCTCCTCCTTCTCCTACTCCTCCTCGTTCGCCTGCTACTCCTCTTCATAACCCGCCCCCGAAAAAAAAGTATCGATGAGCGCCTTCAGGGGCTGGAAGTGTGAGATATACGCTGTGCATCTTGTGTGTATGCTATGTTGCAGTATGCAGACAGTGCAGAGCAAGGCTGTAGCATAGCGGGTGTACCATTGCACTTTGGCCCGAACCTTTTTCAGGGCCCTTGAGTCAGACAGAGCGCGATGTGAGAATGTGATTCTCTTTCATAATCAGTGTTGTATTCATTGCCATCAAAGACTTCGTGGGCTTTGATAAGTTCATATTGGCAGCGGAGCCTGTCGATCACTCGGCAGGCTCGTTTGCGCCCTCCATATTCAGTGGACCGCTCGAGATCGACGGCCACTACTCCACAGCAGGCGGCTTCGTCCCCAGCTACGACTCGGAATCGACCTCCAGCGAGGTCCAGAGCAACAATTACAGCGGCGAGTACGAGCAGCAGTACACCTCCCGCGACAGCGACAGCGACAGCGACCTCTACGCAGCAAAGGCTAGCATAATGGCGAAAGCAGGCGGCAGAGGAACTGATGACCAGCAGGCGATACTACCAGAACGCGGAGTTCCACAGTTCGATGGCACACTGTCGAGGTGGAAGGAGTACGAGAAGCGGGCGACTATGTTCATAGCGAAGCTTACCTTGGAGAAGAAGGAGGGCGAAGCGGCTCTCATGTTATCGGCCGGGCTGACGGGTGAAGCCTGGGATGAAGTCGAGGACCTCACGGCGGACGACCTGATCAAGCCTGGCGCGGCTACAGCGCTGCTCACACGCTTCGGAAGCGATTCAAGATGGACACACGGACGGAGTTGGCAGATGACTTTGAGGAGTATTTCTACAAGTTACGACGTAATCGAGCAGAGACACTGTTCAGCTACATATCAAGAGTTCGGGCGGCAGAGCGGAAGATCAAGACGCACGACATCGAGTTGCCATCTAAGGTTCGTGGATGGCTGATCCTACGACGAGGCGGTTACAGTTCAGACCAGAAGGCAGTCATCATGTCCATCGTGGGCAAGGATATCACGCAGGACAAAGTGATCGAGGCGCTGGAGACGACATTCGGACAGGAGAGCACGGTATACGAGCCTAATCATGCACGGAAGCAGTACCGCGTGGACGACGAGACAGGAGAGTACTACGAAGAAGATGCATACTATGGCCAAGACGACGAACTAGAGTTCGACGACGGCTACGAGCAGGAGTACTGGGCCGAGGACGGCGACGAGAGCTGGTACGACTGCGAGGAGGCCTACTATCAGCGGGACACGGCGACGATGCTTGCAGGACTTCGAAGTATCGGAGTACGACAAGGTCTACGCGGCCTACCACGACGCTCGCAAGCGTTTCAATGGCTTGAAGCTTGCACGAGGCTACTACCCGGTGGTGGCGATGGTACCAGGCGCGACGGGATCATCAGCATCGGCAGCACCGAGGCGCCCTCCGAGCAAGGGCGGAGCAAAAGGGCGCGGACGATCTCGAGGAGCTGGTAAGAAGGGCAGCCCAGGACGGAAGGGCTCACCACACTCGGCACCATCTCGCCCATTCAATCCATATACGAGGCCGAGACCCACGGAGAGGGCGGAGGCAGCTACGAGGCCAGCACCATCCAAGGCGACTTGTCTACGATGTGGCGGAGTCGGACACTGGGCGAAGGACTGCCCAGAACCACCGAAGAAGCGGCCCCGTGGACAGATGGATCAAGAGATGATGGTGGACGGAGTCTACTGGGACGACCGCAAGACGGCCAGCATCATTCCCGCACAATTGGCGATCCTGGACGGCGGCGCGACTACGCTTATGTCAGGTTCGGAGACTATCAAGGAATACCTGACCACATGCCACGCCAGGGGCTACCCGATCGAGACGCTAGAGTTTCACACGTGTCGGAGGCCATTCCGTTTCGGCAATGGCAAGGTGGAGCACGCACTGTGGTGCGGTGTCATTCCAGCGAGCTTCAAGAGCAAGACGGGAACCCTGTACATCTACCTTGTTCCAGGGAAGACGCCAATGCTCTTCCCGCGGCCCCTACTGGAGAAGTTTGCAGTGCAGGTTGACTTTGCGAATCAGCAGCTGGCGTGGAACGGCGGCAGCTACGAGGAGGCGCGCACGTCTCCGCAAGGCCATTACATGGTGGATCTGCTTGAGGACATGGACGACCAGACGAAGGACGTTCAGCTGGACTTCGAGTACGAGCCAGTCGATTTCAAGGAGTTCATGGACGGCGATAGGACCATCAGCGGCCTGGAGTTTCTAGATGAAATCTACAAGGTCGACAATAGCAGCAGCGACGACGGGGAACAGTGGGAAGTTGCATACCAGCGGGCGCACTCAGAAGGATGCGCGCAACGAATCGTGAAGGTCAACTGTTGTGGCGAGTACATGAAGCAGCATCGGTGTCAGAATCATGCTTCCTGCGGCAACCTTTGCTTCACAACGACGCCGATCCAGCCAGTTGACCCGAACCTGCCAGAGCCATGCTGGTGCCTGGCGGACGCCTACAGCGACGTGACGCAGCTCACCGAGCAGGACACGCACAGCAGCGACGATGGCGACAAGAGGCAGGTCACGACCAGCTTCATTCAGAAGATCGACTCGGCGATCAAGCACGCGAGCGACCAGTACATGCAGACGATGCGGCGTGCAGCGGCAAAGCGCTGCACCACGCGACGGAAGGTCTGGGAGGTCTATCCAGGCGAAGCTAGGCTATCTCAGAGTCTACGCGACCTTGGAGCGGACGTCGAGACGTTCGGACTACACACGGGCTGGGACTTCGCGAAGGCCGAACACCGAGAGCGGTTCAAGCGCAAGTTACACGAAGAACAGCCAGACGAAGTACATTTCTCACCGATGTGTGGACCTTGGTCCAACATGCAGGAGCTAAACATTCACCAACACCCAGGTTGGAAGGAGTATCTTATTGAGCTACGTGACTGGCATCATCGGACACACCTGCAATTCGTGGCGGACGTCTACCACATCCAGTGTGAAGGTGGACGTCATGCTCACGTGGAACATCCAGCCACATCGAGGGCTTGGCAGACCGAAGCCTGGTCCAACCTACCGGGCTACAAAGCGACCTTCGACCAGCGCATGTACGGTCTCACCCTACCAGGGAACGACGATCAGCCGGTCAAGAAGCCCACCACCATCAGGACCACCAAGAAGCTCATGGCGGCTATCATGAGCACGCGATGCGACAGGTGTCATCAGCACGCAGTACTGGAGGGCAACGTGGACGGCAGTGGCGTCAAGCGCACGAAGGTCACGGAGGACTACCCGTTCATCTTGGCAGCCACCCTGGCACAAGTTATGGTGGAGGCCGAGGTCGAGGAGATCTACAACGGCGAAGACGTCAGCAGCGGCAGCAACCCCACCTCGACGGACGAGACGGCGAAGGAGGAGGTTGTCCACGTGCACTCGCAGTTACGCGAGAAATACGGCACCGAGGCATTGCGCTACGTCAAGCGGCTGCGCCGGAACATGGGACATCCCAACCCGACGGTACTACATCGGTTACTAAAGCAAGCAGTAGCTCAGGAGAACGTGCTCAACTGCGCGTCTGAGTATCGCTGCGAGCACTGTATGCAGCGGCAGCGCCCGCCTAAGGCACCCACAGCGTCAGCCAAGCAGCCGACGAAGTTCAACGAGACCGTCTACACCGACGTGTTCTGGGTCAAGACAGCGACAGGCAAGACGGCCATCCTGTCGATGGTGGACGGTGCTACCAGGTACTGTGCCCTACGGACAATCAAGACGGAGACGGCCGACGAACTGATCAAGGCGGTCGAGCGCGGCTGGATCAGGCAGTTCGGTCCCATGGGCGAGCTACGCACCGACGACGGCTCAGGCTTCGCGTCGGACAAGTTCACGCAGTTTCTGGAACAACATAGTATCAGTATTGTGATCGCAGAAGGCGAGGTTCACTCGAGTCTCGGAGTGGTGGAGCGACGTCATCAGGTGGTTCGAGAGGCGATCGAGCTCTACTGCCAGGACGCCATTGAGCGCACGGCCAACGCGGTGCTCGACGAGAAACTGGTCACCGAGGCGTGCATCTATGTGCCCCACCAGGTCAACCGACTGGCGTTCACAAAAGGGTACTCACCATGCCAGTGGGTTCTGGGCATGGATCCCACTACGACGATGACCAACTCCAGCGACAAGTTCTCACCAGCGACCCTGTACCAGATGAAGGAGACGAGGACTTCAAGGACGTGCTGGAAAGGAGGTCTATGGCGGCGTTAGCTTTCATGAAGGCGGACGCCTCAGCCAAACTTAGACGCGCACTCCTGCGACGACACGTGGCGCTCAAGCACGATTTGTCCATCGGCCAGCGGTGTTACTACTGGCGCGAGGGCAAGACTAACGAGCTGATCAAGAACAAGTGGAAGGGCCCCGCAGTCGTGGTGTTCAAGGAGATGCGCCAGGACGAGAGTGGACCACGCATCTACTGGATCGTTCACGGCACACAGCTACTACGGTGTGCACCTGAGCACGCTCGGCCAGACGTGAGTGATCAAGGGTGCGTTCTTCTCGAGAACCTGACCCAGGCCAAGGATACACTGGGCAGCATGCGGAGGACGGGCGTGACGCAGTACCATGACATCAGCTCACAGCAAACCCCGTTCGACGCACCGGGCGACTCGGACATGGACGTCGACGACGACGCGGAGGACGGAGACGGAGACGAAGGTCCAGCATCCAAGCGACGTCGAGGAGGAGGTCCTGATTCGAGGGCGTCCCCCGTGGCGGAGGTACCTGCAGAGGAATCGTCATCTGGGTCAGCGGCGGCAGCAGCCACGGCAACACCAGAGGTACCACCAGCTACAGCAGCTCCAGCGGG